CCACATACACCTGAGCTGGCGGGTTCGAATCCAGCCCGGGCCTGCCAAACAACAATGATGGCTGCAACCAAAAAATAGCCAGGCATTGTGGAGGGTGCCTATAGTCCCAGCTACGTGGGAGGTGGAGGCAGGAGACTTGCTTAAGCCCAAGAATTGGAGGTTGTTGTGAGCTGTGATGCTATGGCACTCTACCCAGGGCAACAGCTTGAGGCTCTGTCTCAAAATAAAATAAAATTAAATTTAAATTTAAAAAATAAAATAAAAATAAAATAATTTAAAAAAAAGAAAAAAAGAACCTGAGATATGGCTCAGCGCCTGTAGCTCAAGTGGCTAAGATGCCAGCCATATAACACCAGAACTGGTGGGTTCAAACCCAGCCCAGGCCTGCCAAACAACAATGACAACTACAACCTACTTGAGAGGCTAAGGCAACAGAATCGCCTAAGCCTAAGAGTTTGAGGTTGCTGTGAGCTATGACACCCTAGACACACACAAAAAAAGAACCTGGGATATACATGAACTTATGTAATAACCGGTTACCCCTACATACTCAATGCCAGTTAAAAAAAAAAAAAAAGACAAAAAAACATTAAAACCTTTCTCTACAACTTAATTTGGCACAATCTAATCAAACATTTTTTAATTTTTTAAAGAAGTTGTGGTAAGGGGCCCCATAGATCTCTGGTTAGGGCACCGGCCACATGCTCCAGGGCTGGTGGGTTCAAACCTGGCCCAGGCCTGCTAAACAACAAAAAAGTAGCTGGGCACTGTGGCAGGCACCTGTAGTCCCAGCTACTAGGGAGGCTGAGGAAGAGAATCATCTGAGCTCAAGAGTTTGAGGTTGCTGTGAGCTCCAATGTTACAGCACTCTACCATGGGTGACAAAGTGAGACTGTCTCAATAAAAAAAAAAGAAGCAAGTTGTAGTAAAATATACACACCATAAAATTTGACATTTTGATCAAGTGTACAATTCAGTGGCATTAAGTACATTCACACTGTTGTACATCACCACTGTTAATCGCTGAAACTCTGCACCCATTAATCAGTACTTCCCCATTCTCTCCAACCCCCAGTCCTTGGCAACTACCACTCTATTTTTTGACTCTGAATATGGCTACTCTACATATCTTATATGATTAGAATTGTAACAGTATTTGTAATTTTGTAACTAGCTTATTTCACTTACATATAATATTTAAAACCTTCTATGTTGTAGCATGCATCAGAATTTCCTTTCTTTTTATTTTTTGAGACAGTCTCACATTGTTACCCTTGGTAGAGTACCATGGCATCATAGCTCACAGCAACCTCAAACTTTTGGGCTCAAGCTATTCTCTTGCCTCAGTCTTCCAAATAGCTAGGACTATAGGCACCTGCCACAATACCTGGCTGTTTTTAGAGATGAGGTCTCACTCTGGCTCAGGCTGGTCTTGAACCTATGAGCTCAGGCAATCTACCCGCCTCAGCCTCCCAGAGTGCTAGGATGACAGGTGTGAACCACTGTATCCAGCACAATTTCCTTTCTTTTTAAAGGCTAAATACTATTCCCTTTTATGTATATACCACACTGTTATTTATTTATTTTTTAGAGACAGAGTCTCACTTTATCGCCCTCAGTAGAGTGCCATGGAGTCTCACAGCTCACAGCAATCTCTAGCTCTTGGGCTTAGATGATTCTCTTGCCTCAGCCTCTGAAGTAGGTGGGACTACAGGCACCTGCCACAACGCCTGGCTATTTTATAGTTACAGTTTGGCCAGGGCCGGGTTTGAACCCACCACCTTTGGTATATGGGGCCAGCGCCCTACTCACTGAGCCACAGGTGCCACCCAACTTTGTTATTCTTAACACTGATCATCTGATGAAGACAGGAATGAGAGACTAATTTCAAATATATTTCTGCACTATTTACCTTGTTATAATGAAAATGCATTATTTTTGAAATCAAACAATCTAATGATGTAAAAAGGTTAATTAAAAATAAGAGAAACTGACTTGAATTACTTATGAATGAATGAAAACACACATGGTTGGAGAGGGAACTGCTTTAAAGGCACTTCACAGGGAAGAATAAAAATAGCAATAATTGGCTC